TGTTCTTAACTAACAAAGCCAACCTGATAACGAAAAGCGGCTCGCTGTGGTTTGTACTTCCGCCGATGCCGCGAACACGACAAGCACGGCATGCCATCTGCAAGCATCCCAAACAGGAAGTATCCATCATCACCAACTCCTGCTAGTGAGTCGTCGTCGTGTCCGTCTCCAAATAGTCGAAGGACCTTGTCGTGTGTGCGTGAATGCACCGTGACCCGATCAAACAGAACATGTAGCTGCAAGTGATACTCGTTGGCAATTAGTTTATAATAGTATTATCAAGATTATTTAGTACGGATTTAACTGCACATTGGTGAAGGACTTACGGAAGCTGTTGGCGAAAAGATAGTGGCATCTCAGAGTGTACGGCTCACTGGGTGAGATGTGCGTTTATTGCCTTGAACGCTTTGTTAAGAGACGGAGGCCAGGATATTGGGAAGAAAGCGGTTTAGTTGTGGTGGGAATTGCTTACAGTCGAGTGTGCAAATTCAACATCGTAGGTTTTTCCTCGAAACTGCAGCTCCACTGCTATCTACGCTGCTGCTGAGAGTGTGCTTTCAATGACAGGAATGTCGATCCTGGCTTTCCCGTTGCAGCTTGCACCCTTAAGCTCAAGAGAAATACTGTTCACATACTGCTTGGCTGCAAATGCTGCCATCCGCTGAACGCCGACACTAGCGTAAGGCAAAACGTAGCTTGGAATGACCATGAAGACGTGTGGTACTCCTTCATGCATATCCACCTCCCAATTAATAACACCGTCAGCTTTGGCTTTCGCCTCGAGTCGCACCGAATGCTGGAACAACCTATCCAGACTGGCAGACTGCAGGAACACGGGCGGTAGGCCTTGCAGGTTGCAATGCACTGGAGAGGCATCCGCCCACGTACTCGGATCGTCGTGCGTCGGATGGTACGATAACACGCTTGCAGCCATCATATTGAGCGGAAGAACGCAGTGTTGGCCAGCGATTTCATCTTCTTCCCACGTGAGATCAGCCAGAGGACACATGACAATTGCTGCCAGTGGCAATGGCAACTTGGACTTCCAACTGGACAGTCCATCTCGAACTCGTAGTAGAGTCGACATGACCAGACCCCCTCCAGCACTGTCACCCGCTAGTATTATCTGCGATGGCTCCAGTTTCTCATGCTGAAGCAAATACTCATACATGGCTACAGCATCTTCTGCCGGCACGGGGAACTTATGTTCCGGTAGTTTACGGTAGTTTGCAAGGAAAACGTCTACATCCACGTCGTCCGTAGCCAGCTCCTGCTTAATGGCGCCCGCTAATGCACTACAGAACGAGATGTACATCCTCGGACTCAGCACTGCGTAGCCCCCTCCATGGAAAAAGAGCACCACCAGCCTCTTTCTTTCATTGTTGATTTCTGTACTAGACTTGAGCCAGATGTGCTCCAATCCATTGAGTCGAACACTTTCTAGTTTCAAACCGCGTTGCCAACGTGCGAACCAGCCCAGACATGTACCGAACATGCCTGTATGATGACGAATGGCTCGTGCGTGCTGCACGTCTACGATGCGCTCACCGAACATGGTTGCTGCAGTGCGCATGAGCCCGTGCAGCAGTTCGTAACGCAACGTCCACTTGGGGAATCTGGGCTTGAAACCTCGCGCGATATACTGCACTGTGATCTTGCAGAGTGTCCAGGAGATGCTTGCCAATAGCTGAGCCGTCTCCAGCGGGGTGCGACAGAAGCCACGTGACGCCTCTAAGGTCAGCAATAGAGCAATAGCCCCACTCGTGCCACCGAAAACCCAGCGCAGGAACCTGCGACGACGGTCTGGATCGGACCAAAAGCGAAGAAGTGGGGCGAGCAACATTTGGAGAGATTGGCGCAATTGCATTGTGAACGATACGAGGGAGAGGTTAACCATTGCAGCGGGCTAGTGCGCGGCTTGAAGAAGGTTGGGAAGTGGTTGGTCGTTGCGATTGATGGTGATCCGAACGGACGGTTGAAGTGTAGACGTGAGTCCTCGTTGTCATGATCTTGAAAGGGTGCAATAACTAAGTGTATCCATCTGTATCTTCAAAATATAAAATTTAAGAATTTAGAAAGACTGCTGTTTGCGCTGTTTACGGTGCGGTGAATATCAATGTTGACAGGTAAATGTTGAAGT